AAATTAAGAATAGAATCAACTAACTAGCCAGACTTAATTTACTTGCTAAAGTATATTAATTAACCCCTTAAAAACTACCCTTAATTAAAAAATTTACCATATTACACATTTAAAAAAATTTTACTTCTCAAAATCTTCACAAAAATTATAAATAAAATCAACTGGAAAGCCAGACTTTAATTCTATGGTAGAATTAATCAATCATCCTCTAAAAACTACCCCTAATTGAAATTTAACCATTTTACACATTAAGAAAAATTTTACTCCTCAAAATCTTCACGAAAATTATAAATAAAATTAACTAACTAGCCAGACTTTAATTCCATGTTAGAGTTAATCAATCAACCCCAAAAAACTACCCCTTATTAAAAATTTTACCATATCACACATTTAAAAACTTTTTCCTCCGCAAAATGTTCACAAAAATTATGAATAAAATCAACTAACTAGCCTGACTTGATTTACTTGCTAAAGTAGATTAATCAGCCCCTCAAAAACTACCCCTAATTAAATAATTCACCATATTACACATTTAAAAAATTTCTTTTACACAAAATCTTCACGAAAATTATAAATAGAATCAAGTAACTAGCCAGACTTTAATTCCCTGCTAGAGTTAATCAATCAGCCCCAAAAAACTACCCCTTATTAAAAATTCTACCATATTACACATTTAGAAACTTTTTACTCCGCAAAATCTTCACGAAAATTATGAATAAAATCAACTAACTAGCCTGACTTGATTTACTTGCTAAAGTGAATTAATCAACCCCCCAAAAACTACCCCTAATTGAAATTTTACCATATTACACATTTAAAAAATTTTACTCCGCAAAATCTTCACATTTAAAAAATAATTACTCTGAAAAATATTCACTAGTTAGTCGATAAAATTTATAATTTTTGTGAAAAGATTGATGAGTAATGATTTTTTAAATGTGTAATATGGTAAAATTTCAATTAGTGGTAGTTTTTGGAGGGTTGATTAATCTACTTTAGCAAGTAATTTAAGTCTGGCGAATTAGTTGATTTTCTTTATAATTCTCGTGAAGATTTTGCGGAGTAAAATTTTTTTAAATGTGTAATATGGTAAATTTTTTAATTAGGGGTAGTTTTTAAAGAGTTGCTTAATCTACTTTTCCAAGTTAATTAAGTATGGCTAGTTATAGATTTTATTTATGATATTCGTGAAGATTTAGCGGAATAAAGATTTTATATGTGTAATATGGTAAAATTTTCAATTAGGGGTAGTTTCTGGGGGTTGATTGATTAACTGTAGCATGGAATTAAAGTCTGGCTAGTTAGTTGATTTTATTTATAATTTTGGTAAAGATTTTGCGGAGTAATAATTTTTTTAATATGTATTGTGGTATTTTTTTCAATTAGGGGTAGTTTTTAAGGGGTGGATTTATCTACTTTAGCAAGAAAATTAAGTCTCACTAGTTAATTGATTTTATTTATATTTTTGATGAAGATTTTGGAAAGTAATAATTTTTTTTTGTTTATTTTGGTCAATTTATCAATTAGGGGTAGTTTTTGGGGGTTGATTGATCTTCTATAGCATGGAATTAAATTCTGGCTAGTTAGTTGATTTTATTTATTATTTTTGTGAAGATTTTACGGAGTAAAATTTTTTTAAATGTGTAATATGGTAAAATTTTCAATTAGGGGTAGTTTTTGGATGTTGATTAATTAACTGTAGCATGGAATTAAAGTTTGGCTAGTTAGTTGATTTTATTCCTAATTTTCGTGAAGATCTTGCGCAGTAATAATTTTTAAAATGTGTAATATGGTAAAATTTCAATTAAGGGTAGTTTTTGGGGGTTGATTGATTAATTGTACCATGGAATTAAAGTCTGGCTGATCAGTTGATTTTATTTATAATTTTCGTCAAGATTTTGCGCAGTAATAATTTTTTTAATGTGTTATATGGTAAAATTTCAATTAGGGGTAGTTTTTGGGGGTTGATTGATTAATTCTACCATGGAATAAAAGTCTGGCTAGTTAGTTGATTTTATTTATAATTTTTGTTAAGATTTTGCGAAGTAAAAATTTTTTAAATGTATAATATAGTAAAATTTTCAATTAGGGGTAGTTTTTGGGGGTTGATTGATTAATTCTACCATGGAATTAAAGTCTTGCTGGTTAGTTGATTTTATTTATAATTTTCGTCAAGATTTTGCGGAGTAATAATTTTTTAAATGTGGAATATAATAAAATTTTTAATAAGGGGTAGTTTTTTGGGGTTGATTGATTAACTCTAGCATGGAATTAAAGTCTGACTAGTTAGTTGATTTTATTTATAATTTTCGTGAAGATTTTGCGGAGTAATAATTTTTTTGTGTTTATTTTGGTCAATTTTTCAAATAGGGGTAGTTTTTTGGGGGTTGAAAAGCATTTTGAGGATGTTTAGGTAATTTAGAATGTTTTTTTATGAAATGGATTTTTTATTTTCGTTATTTATCAGTTTTACCGTTAATAATTAATTATTTTTGTTGAATTTATGGTGGTATGAATTTCATAATTTGTCAATTTTTAGAGGGTTGAATTACGAGTTTGGCTACCCTTAAATAAAAACCAAAAATTATGATCAACTACAATTTTCACGCAGATTAAGAAGATTTTTGGTCGAATTTTTTTACTTACGTTTTGTGATAATTGTCGATGTACAAAAAACGGGCAAAAAACAGGCATTTTTTGCGGTTCCTCTTTGAAGCTACAGAAAAACTGCACGAGGGAAAAAAATTAAAACTATGATTTTCTTACTCAAAAAACACCTACTATTCGAAAAAAAATTGTTTCGTTCGATTAACAATTTCACTGTAAACCAGTGTAATTTAAGTAAAGCAGTTTCATTTTTATAACAATAATAAAAGTAGATTTACTGCAAATAATTTTTTTTATTTACCTGGTTGAGATGGAATATTTGATTGACCATCATTTACAAATTTTCTCGATTTTTGTGCGGTTGGGATTACAAAAGGCGATACTGGGCTCGATTGTTGAGTTTCGTGAGATATAGCCAAAGATCCTTCGGGTGGAGTAGCGAAATTCGACAGCAACAATCTCGCTGCAATTATTAAATAAATAATTTAATTAACCCATTAACGCCCACCAGGACGCAAAATGTACCATGATTTCTCTCTTTCATTTCTCTCTCTTTTCATTTCCGACGTAAAATTTATCGCTCTTTTGAAATATGAAGCTAAAATTTGTTTATTATTAGCTCAAAAAAATTTATAACAAATTTATTGAAAAAAAACACACTTTTTCACGAAAAAAAATTTTTCAATTATTATTTTGACATGGAAAACTAAAGAATATGGTCTCCAAAGCACAAAATATCGCGTCCTCGAACTCTCAGCTATAAAAATCAATAATTACTTTTTTTTTAATTCAAGATAGCGGATATGAAAATGGACATTTTTCTAAAATGCAAAAGGCCGAAAAAAATTTCGGGTAATGTTTTTCAAAAGTTTTTAGATTTGCTTGAAAATGGTTAATCGGGGTTTTTGGGGTCGCTGATTACGAATCTAATGTTACTTTTTTAAAATTCAAAATGGCGGATCCAATATGGCGGACATATTTTTTTAAGAGTGATTGGATTTGCTTGAAAATAGTAACTCGGGGGTTTTTTGGGGTCGCTGATTACGAATCTGATATCACTTTTTCAAAATTCAAAATGGCGGATCCAATATGGTGGACAATTTGTTAAAAAGTGATTAAATTTGCTTGAAAATGGTTACTCGGGGGTTTTTGGGGTCGCTGATTACGAATCTAATATTACATAATTTATATTTAATTAAGAAGCTTCAAAGCCAGAAAAAACTGGAAAAAGTAAGGTTATGTTAAATAAAAAAATCAAGTTTTTAAAACATTTTTTGTTCCACTGTTGGTTAATGACAAAATTATATTATAAATATAATTAAAATAAATTATTTAATGATTTTTTTGCTTATTTGTTAATGTTACATTATTTTTACATGTACAGTGGAATTCTTTCGAAGATGTGCATTCGTGTAATTAATTTTTATTTTTGAGACCGAAAATGAATTTTATTAATTTTATAATTTAGAATAATTTACTACATATTTGTAAGTTTGTGTTAACCTTTATGGGACTGAGGAAAAAAACACCTTCTATGGACGGACGAGGTACCCGGGTACCTATGTTTAATTTGACGATTTCTTATGGATATTATTATTAATTATAGCAACTGAATTACATATTTTATAAACAAATTATGTGTATTACTATAAAAAATTGTTTTTTCAAATTTTTCATAATTTTTTAATAGAAATTTCAACATCTATTAGCCTGAAATGTACAGAGGTACCCGGGTACCTTGTCCGCCTTTTATGGGTGAAGAAATTTTGTTTATTTTTTCCAAATAAATAAATAAATAAGTTACATTATAAACAATATCAAAACACTTTGTATGGATAGATGTTAGATGCCAAAAAACCTTAGGTTAATACGATTTTCGAAATTATAAATAAAACCAATATGAAAGTGCAGAAGGTACCCGGGTACCTCGTCCGCCTTTTATGGGTGAAGAAACTTTGTTTAATATTTCAGAATAAATAAATAAACAAAGTACATTATAAATAATGTAAAAACACTTTATATGGATAAATTTGAGATGTCAAAAAACCCTGGGTCGCTACGATTTTAAAAAATATGAAAAAAATCAATTTTAAAATGCAAAAGGTACCCGGGTACCTCGTCAGTCCCATAAAGGTTAAAACTAAATTTGCTTGGTGGCCAAAAGACAAACTTGCCAGTGTACTAAATTGCCATTTGACTAAATTTGCTATAGTTTGTGTTACTCGGGTTGGAGAGAGTTTGTAGGTAAAACAGTTTTGCTGTTTACGATGATCTGTCAAACGTAAATACACGTGTTGAGCAATTAATTAATATTATCATTGTTATTTAATAAATAAATAAGTGAATAAATAAACAGTTTAATTAGTTTAGAGGAAAAATGAATTATTTTTTAGGTTTACATACAGACGAAATGGAACAAAGAGAACAAGAAAAAGAAATTGCGTATAAAGGTTAGTTTTACATTTAATTTTATTTAATAATTGTTTATAATAATATATAATAAATAATAATAAATATAATATAATTATAAATTATTATTATAATTATTATAATTATTATTATATAATATATTATATTAATTATTTAATAATAGTAGTACCTATTAATAAAAAATTAATTAAAATTGTTTTTTCAATATAAATATTTATAATAAATTAATTGTATAATTATATTACTATTAATGATAAATTAAATAATTAGACAAATTTAATTATTTAAATTGTTTTATTTTTTAACAAACATTTCTTATATTATAGGTTTAAAATTCCACCCAGACGATGAGTCAAGTTTGACACATGCCGGGGAAACGAGACACGAGTCTCCGGAAACTTTAGGAAATATTTTCTTTCAGCTCTTTTTTGAAAGAAAAATAAAGGGTTACATTGTTTCGGAAAAGGAATTAGAATTCGAATCAGTATTACAGGTAATTATTATTCTTTTTTGTACATATAAGAAAAATGAAGCAAATCAAGCTTGACACAAGATAGGGAAAGTCTGGAAATTTTATTAAAAGTACTTATTGGAAAAAATTACATTTTTATAATTCATAAGAAAATTCTGAATGTTTATGTCTTTTTTGTTTGCCTTGAAATTTTTAAATTACCCAGAATTTTAATACAAAACTTTAAATTTTTTCTACTTTTGACAGAAAGTCAATTTCTATCAAGAAATTATTGCTTGTAAATTTGCTTCAAGTCCGTTAAATATGATTAAGTAATAAAACTGCTTTTTTATATTTATAAAACAAATAATTTTTTCCTATGAAAATTAATCATTTCTTTTCCTTCTATGGTTTCATGGCGGTTGGCGAACTCGATCCACTGAATCGTCGATTGTGTTGTGTGAGAAAAAGCCAGACGTCGTAATGCAACTTACAGATCAGGGAATTTAGCCAAAAATCAGTTTAAATAAATGTAAGTAATTAGAAGTTTTTAATAACAAATATTTTTGAAAAATTTTAATTATTCATATTCTTCTGAAATTAATTAAATTTTTTAATTAATAATTAATTGTATTTAAAGAAAATTTTAATAAGATTCTACGTAAACTTTTAATTATTTCCATAAAATAATTGAAATGATGAAAATAATATTCAAGAAACGATATCTCGGACTGGTTAATTATATTTTTGTCAATAATTGGTCTGTAAATAGCCAGCAATTTTTCAGTTTTGGTTCGTAAAGTCAGTATTTTTAACTAGTTTCACTGGTTCGAAACCTGAAATTAAAAATTTTTCAAAACTTGGTTTTTTGAAAAACTTTAATTCAAATTACATTTAATTAAAGAATTTTCAATTGATCGAAATTTCGTAAAAATTTGTAACAATAACTGAAGTGAAACTTTTTTTCTATAATTTAAAACCGTCAGTTTTTTTCTCTTTTTGTTATTTTTCATCATTTCCAGTAGTTTCAATAAATTATTTTAACATCTACATAATGTTTTAGTTGAATACACCAATCGGCCACGATACCTTACAATTTTCCAAAATAAAAAAATCAATGTTTTGCATAAAGAGCTGTAAAATTTCACTGCATTTAAATTTTACCAACCGCTTCTGACAGAAATATGGTTAATAGATGTCAGCAACTATCTGCTTTTTAGAAATTTTGAAAAAAATTTTGATTTTTGAGAGAGAGATGCAAAAAACAATGTGTTCGCCACCATACCTTACACTCCCCTACTGTAATGTTACTTTGTAATATTATTAACAGGGTGTAACCAGGGCTAAAATATCAATGTTGTCCTCTAGTTCTTTGATTTGAATAAAAATTTGTAAAATGATAAAGAAATATATGTAAATGAAATGACTAGAAGTAATTTTTGAAAATATAACAAATTTTTGGATTTACGGGATTTTCAAAATTTGGAAAACGACATGTCTCACAGACAAGTGAATGGATTTTAATGATTTTTACACACATTACTTATTACATAAAGACATATAGAAAAATTATATGACCAAGAAAAAAAAATTGTTTAAACAAATTTTTTGATTAAAAGTGTATTTATTTTTCTAATGTTGATATTTCCATTTCTCATGATTCCATGAGTCTTTTAAGACCTCAAAATCTATGGTATGTCTAAAACTTATGGAAATATCGAATTTTTTGTCATTGCGTGCAGGAACAAAATGCGAATTTCTGCAATGACATGTGATGTTTCAAAGTCGCTAAAGACCATAATTCTTAACCAATTTTTAATTTTTTTTGCAGAAGCGATTAAAAAGGAACTTAATAACAACAAAATAGGGTAATGTCACCTTGAGTGGACCGCCTAAGCTTTTTATCGAAAAAATTCTTTATGAAAGCAAATTAATCGTAGGTTTCTATTCCAAGCTTTAGATTAGATCCCTAGATAAGTGTTTATACCATATTAGCTTTGATTTTTATTTATTTGAAAGAAAAAATTGACTTTAAAAAAGCTAATTTTTAAGGAATGAAAAAAGTGTAACCTTGAGTGGACCACTCCTAAAAAATTGCAAAAATTATTCTAAATTCGTTAATGTATTTAATATTTCTGATATATTAAAACAAAATTTATGCTTATGCAGCTTTAGACCATGTATGTGTCGCAATATTTGCAAGTGAAACCATTTTTAACAATTTTGGCTCATATCACATCAATGTCACAAAAAAATTAATAAAGAACATAAATCATAGTTTTAAACTAATTTATTGTCAATTTATATCCAAAAAATGGTAAACTGACATTAAAATGGAAGAAAACAGGCAGTCCACTCATGGTTACAAACAGTGGTCCACTCATGGTGACATGCAACTTTTTATGTCATCCACCACAATTTTTTTTGAGTCAAAATTATCACTTAATTAAACTAAGACAATCAATTTCAATGTTCAAAGTCGTAGGAAAAAAAGTAACCTTTTAAAACTTAAATTTTACACTACTTTTACACTTCCGAATAACTTTAGTTATTGTAAGAGCGACTTTTTTTTGGTTTGTGATCTTAAAAACGCGTTACATTAAACGGTAACGTATATATCTATCGCGGAACTTAAGTTCTTACGGTTTCTAAGTGCGGTGCTGCTATTCGCACTATATATTTGACGTATCCGCTGTCAGATAACTTACACGGTGGTCTTTAAGCACTTTTAGGTTTACCTAACATGAGTCAAAATTGCGTTAACGCAATTTTATCTGGAATCGTTCTAAAATTCCAAATTTTTATTTCCGAAAATTGTAACCGATTCTTTTTTCGATAAAAACATATATGGGCAATTCCACGTGAGATTTTAGTCGACCTCTTAAAATCGTCCAAAAAGATTTTTTTTCTATTCTGTATCGAAAATAAACAAAGACGTATTTTTTATTTTTGTTTAATTGTCCAAATTTTCAAGTCATGAATTTTCGAAATTTTGGACTTGTAACACAGCCACACAAAAAACAAAGTGTCTTGATCTGGGGTCGAGACATATGTATTCCGATGTATTTTGATGCGCTAAATCCGAATCCGCCATCAGAATTTGACCAATGGGTCCTGGTTTCGCCCTAACCTCAAAAATACCCTAAAATCGTTAAAATGGTTACTTTTACAAGTTTACTTATTTATTTTTTTTTGTTCGTCCAAAGTAAATTCTTTATTAGTATTTCATGACTTTACAATCCAGAAGAATGTTAGCATAACAATTAAGGAGCGACTAAAAAGTCTAAAATCGCTCATTCAGGAGGTGAGAGAAAGGCACGACGAAGCGAAGAGGACGGATGAACGTCTCTATCAAGGAATGGTCTGGTCAGAGGAAGCTCGACAGGACCGTAGACTCAGAAGAGATAGATTTAATGCAATTGCATTAAAAACGTTACTATGGTTTTTTTCAAAAAAGAAGATTAAGCAGTCCTGAATCGTCGAAGGACCTTAAGAAGAAGAAGAAGAAGGAGATGAAATCTCCCAAAACTGTCTGCACGTAAGGTTGACAGAGATTCTAACGAAAACCAAGACAGTAAAGTACCTAGCTAATGTCTTAGGAAAGCTCAAAAGAGAGGCTGAACCTGATGTCAGACAGACAAGAGTGGTGGAAGCAATACCCACAAAAAAAGGTGACCTTCTTTTAAATATTGAAGGCTCACTAGGAAAGGAGAAGTTCGCCGAGAAGGTGACAAGAATTGTGGGTGGCCGGGGTGACCTTGGTAAGGTGCAGATGGCGGGTCGAAAGGTCACACTAAAGATCCGTGACCTAGACTGCCTTATTGACAACGCAAAAGTTCAAGAAGCCTTGGTGCAGATTTTAGGAGCACCATCATCCTGTAGAAAGGTGACGGTCCTTGGGCCCAACATGCGTTGCTTAAAGCTTGCTGTTGTGGGCACAAGCTTAGAAGAAGCTGCAAGGCTTGAAAAGTTGGGACGCATAAAGGTGGGCATTATGTCGTGTCCAATCAGAAAAAGATGTATGGGCGTCAGGTGCAATAGGTGCCTGGGATACGGTCACATAGGAAAAGGTTGTAAGGCGGTAGATAGATCGGCTGCGTGCTTTAGGTGCGGTAAGGCCGGTCATAAGTCTGCGATAAGGTTGATGTGAACCATGTTGCAGGCAGCGGGGCATGCGGAGTCTTTAGGTCTGCCCTCGAGGAGACCAAAAAGACTCTCGATAGGACCAAGAATAAATAGTGCGGAAGAAAAACGGCACGTAAGCGTCGCGTGAGCGACATAATAGGACCTTCACCCCACGAAGTTCGAAGCCAATAGGTAGTTCCGTGGGTTGAAGAATAGTCCAGATTAAGACGGAAGTGATTTTTAGTGGATCGACCAGAACAAGAGCGGTCATCCCCACATAACCAAGGATTCTTTACCTAGGTATCTGAATTCACAGATTTTCCACTTTCGACTACAAAAAAACCGTTAACAAAAATTACCAGAAAAATTGCATTCAAATATTTATTTTGGGCCTTCATGTTTTTATTGTTTTTACACGGATTTGTAAGAATTAATTATGGAAAATATTTTTTTAATTTGTGCGTCATTGGTACTTTGACGCCAAAATAGTATATTGTGTGGCAATCGTAAGAGGTCAGAATTGACATTTCCGCCCGAGTTGCACACGATATTTTTTGTCCAAATGCGCGATAAACAAGACGGATCCGTAACTTCAAAAATGAATATGCACTAATTATTAAATGTGTATAAAACATTTTTATTAAGACTAAGGCGAGTCCGAATATTTTTGATAAATTTAACAATAAAATTTTACTTAAAAATTGACTCCGTTTTGATTTGAAGTAATAGAAAGTGATAATATAATAATTAGTAGTATTTATTTAATACTGCTAAAGCAGCGGGCGGAAAAGTCGTTTTTCCACCCGCTAAGGCCATGGAGGCGGGCGGAAAAGTAGGTTTTCCGCCCGCTGTTGGTAAGCGGGCGGAAAAGTAGTTTTTACATTCTCATCACATGAGAAAGTATTAGTTTTGGTCGAAAATTGAATTTTGCAAATTTCATAAAATCTCGACGTATTTGGGTCCCCTGAACCCGAAAAACATGGTCTGGCGAGTACGTCTGTCTGTGTGTCTGTCTGTCTGTCTCTATGTATGTATGTCCGTCTGTAGACCAAAATGTTGTTCCCACGTTAACTCTTTAAAAACTTATCAGAATGTTTTTAAATTCAATACACTTAAAGTTGGTGTAAAAACGAAGACTAAGTTCGTTAACCAGCCATTTTCTTTGAAAATTACAAAAACTACAATAGTTTCAAAATTTTGAAAATTTAATTTTCTCACATTTCAAAGCTATTAACTTTATATTCTTTTAGAATAGGAAAATACAAACATCTTTTCTTTATAAAATTCTTTCCTAAAAACTCAATTTTCGAAGTTATAGTCTCTTAAATGGTCAAAAAAACTAAAAAAAAATCCCAAAATAACACTGAAAATAGAATTTGTAAAAGGAATAAAAGTCAGTTAATTGATTTTGACATTTTCTCACCCTTAATACTTGAAAAACATACTTATACACAAAAAAGTCGTAATTTCCAGAAAAATCTCTCTATATATATTTTTTGTGCGCTTTCTTGACAAAAAATCAATATTCCGACTCCATTATCTCCGACATTTTTGCATATGCGATTTTTCTACCAGAGACTTTTTTTCTCGCCTTTGCATCAGCTACAACTTTGCTGTTGACATCTTTTTGCCAAACCCTGAACTTTTTGAGTTATTTTCAAAAAACTAGTTTTTATTACATGCTCATCACATGAGAAAGTATTAGTTTTGGTCGAAAATTGACTTTTACTAATTTCATGAAATCTCGATGTTTTTGGGTCCCCTAAACCCAAAAAACATGGTCTGGCGAGTACGTCTGTCTGTTTGTCTGTCTGCTTGTATGTATGTGTCACGTCATCGCGACGTATTTGATCTTTATAAAATAATTTTTTGTAAAGTTAGAATCTGAATCCTCCCTTTTTCTTGTACCCCAGACATATCGACTCAAATGTGTGTCATCTTGGACAGACTTTTCTATATATGTTCATCCACGATTGTCACCCTTCTATAAGGTTACTTAAGTATCTAAAGCAGTGACCAATCTACGCACATATTGATCC